GGGGGGGGGGGGAGAGAGAGAATGAGATGAAGCCACAAATATCACACAAGGTCTTCTTTCTGCGGTAAAGAAGAAGCCATTTTCCCGTATCAGTTTCCATTAAGATTTTAGGAGGGGAAGGGGGGGGGAATGAGGACAAGAGAATGACACCATCAACAAAAACCGAACTTACTAACGATGCTTTAAATATTAAACCATCAACGAAGCCATGGGGAGGATGTAAATGCTGGCTCGGGAAGCGAGGCAAGGCTTGGAGGACTTCACATCTCTCCCGGAGCAATCCACAGGTGACGCATCCCAGCCTTGTCCACTGCAGCGCAAAGAGGCGGGATGAGAAAGGAAGCGAAAATGAAGAATTTGCCACTTGAGTCTAATTCCTTCGTGCCAAGACCCTCTCTTTTTCCCCCCACCAGAGCTGATCCAGGCAGAGTTCTGCAAATAACGGGCCAGAGGATGGAGGGCAAGAGGGCTGTGGTTGTTGTGCTTGTTGTTAACGCAGATCTTCCTCTTCACCCTGTATGTTTTTCTTGATGCGCAGAAGCATGGTGGTCAGCCATTGGTCCAGGCGAGAGATGGCGTCGTATTCCTTCACCTGGAGGGGGAAAAAAAAAAAATTGTAGCCAGGAATATTCTAAAACCACACACAGCCTTAACAGGGATTTTAATATAGGTAGTCCCTGACTTACCACTGCAAATGAGACCAAAATTTCTGTTGCTAAGTGAGACGGTTGAGTTTTGCCCCATTTTATGAGCGTCCTTGCCACAGCTCTCAAGAGAATCACTGCACTTCCTACATTAGTGACACCGTTGTTAAGTGAAGCTTGCTCCCCCATTGATTTTGCTTGTCAGAAAGGCCACAACAAGGGGATCCCATAACCCTGGGACACTTGCGACCGTCATAAATATGAACCAGAAGTTGCCCAGCTTCTGAATTTTGACCATGTCATCACAGGGATGGTGCAAGAGTTTCTAAGCGTGGAAAAACTCATAAATTATTTCCTTCGGTGCTTTAACTTTGGAACGGTTGCCAAATGAAAGGTTGCACGCTCAGGACTTTCTGTATTCCCACCCTCCCTAGTCAATTCCCCTTCCAGATGAGATTCCGGAATTCCAAGCCGTTTGCAGCCTTCCAGTCTGACGTTCCCTAGGTATTTGTGATATTTGATCACATCATTGAAACCCCACATGTCCAGGAGGCACAGGAAGNCATCCATCCATCCATCCATCCATCCATCCATCCATCCATCCATCCATCCATCCATCCATCCATCCATCCATCCATCTATCTCCCAGACATGGGCAGCCCTCCCCACCCCCACCCTTACCTGGGATGTAGGTGAACTGCACCTCCCTGGCCACCGGCCGCAGGTTCCGCTTCATGTCTTGGTAGCGGAAATAAATCACTTTCCCTTTGAGGGTGGCCGCCAGGAGCCCCCCAGGGCCTTCCCCAGGGCCCCCCGCCTGGCCTGGCGCCCCCAGCCCCGCTGAAAGGTCTGGTCCCCATTGGGAGAAGAGCTCTGCCCCGGCATCCTCCGCCCCCGCCTCTTGTCCTCGCCCGCCCCCGTGAGCCGCCCCGGGCAAGGCCGCCAGCCCATAGACGTTGCTTTGGGAGGAGAAGCGGGTGAAGCTGTCCTCCAGGAAGGGGAAGCTGCGGGGAGGCTCCATCCCGATTCAGGCACCACCAAGGACAGCCCCGTCCGCCATGTCTTCTTCACCGCCCCCCCCCCCGAAACGGGACGCGACGGTCAGAGGGGAGGGCTTTCGACGGTGCAGTCGCGCGGCGGGTGACGTCACCGGGTGGAATATGCGCTGTTTGATGGCAGCGAAGCTGGAGGAGAGGCGGTGACGTCATCTAACAGCCAGGCTGGACTGTTTAAACCAGGTTTCTTTTTGGCGTTTAATTCTGATCTAAATGGAAATTATTTCAAAATGTGGGCTCCGTCGGGCAGCCCTTGTTCTTTCCGCATTTAATACATTGTGTCGTTTCATCACTGGAGCCGCTTGTCTGAAATAGTGTAAGCATAGGGCAGGGGTCCCCAAACTTGGCAACTTTTAAGACTGGTGGACTTCAACTCCTAGAATTCTGCAGCCAGCTCTGCAGAGAATTGGCTGGAGAACTCTGGGAGTTGAAGTCCACTAGTCTTAAAGTTGCTAAGTTTGAAGGCTTCTGGTATAGGATCTTCCTGCTTGAGCAGGGGGTTGGACTAGAAGACCTCCAAGGATCCTCCCAGTTCTATCCTGATTGATGGATTGATTGACTGCAAGAGAGACTACGGGGAGTCACTTTTTAGGAAAACTGGATTTTTCTAAAGGGCAGGTGCAGCATTGCAAGAGATTTTTGGGACTCAACGTACTTGAAAAGGTTGTTTGCCATTTCAAAAGGTCTCGACAAACACAATGGATTTGTAATCCATTAAAATTGATATCATGCTTGAAGTTTAACTAATGCTCACTACCTATCTTCTTACTCTACCCCAATTTAAATCCCACACTAGTCATTATGCCTTTAATCAAAATGGTCCAATTCCTGATCTCTTCTCCTGTAATAATATAGCTTTACTGGTCCTTTCTCCCAATTTCAGGTAGTCCTCAGCTTACGACCACAACTGAGCCCCAGATTTTATGTTGTTAAGTGAGACATTTGTTACGTGAGTTTTGCCCCCCCTATCTACGACCTTTCTTGCCACAATTCTTCAGGGAATCCTTGCGGTTGTTAAATTAGTAACACGGTTGTTAAGCAAATCTGGCTTCCCCATTGACTTTGCTTGCCAGAAGATTGCAAAAAGTGATCACATCACACACACACACACACACACACAG